TTTAAGTGTTTCGTGGCAGGACCTCTTAATGAGCTGCAGGGTTTTGCAGCTAAAGCTGAGTCAGGAAGCCTCTCTTAGATGAGAGCGCTAGCTTGCCTCTAGCAAGCAGAGCAGACTTGAGAAATCGCTGCTACCAAGAAAACATGCTTCACTCCATTCTTTCCCAAGCTTTCTCAGGCTTTCTGTGGATTCAGTTGTCCACACATCTGGGCGCCATCTGTTGAAATATGAAATATGAGCGGCGGCGGGGCTGTGTCCCCAACACCCCTGCCGCTTGGCTAGCTCATGCCCGAAATAACAACACACAAACTGTATTCATTTAAGAACTGCTTGGCCCATGAACTCTAGCCCTTACAGGCTAATTCTCGCACCTGGACTAGCCCATTTCTAATAATGTGTGTAAGCACCCCAAGGTGTGCTTACCGGGAAGATTCTAGCCTCCGTCCATGCTGTCCAGGAGCAGAGCAGAGTCTGACCTCACTTCCTCTTCCGCCCAGAATTCTATTCTGTTTTCTCCTCCCATCTATGTTCTAAGCTATGAGGCCAAGCAGTGTGTTTATTACTTAACCAATGAAATCAACAGATTGATATATGACACTCCCACATCATAGTATTTCTTCTCCCTATTTCTCTTTTTGATTTGTACAACAAAAACTGACTGAAGCATTGAGGATGTAGTAGCAAATAAAACAAGGAGCCCTGCCTTTGTGGGGCTTGCATTCTGGTGGGACAGGCAGACCTTGTACATGTGCAGATATAGATTACAGAACATAGCAGCCCATAACAAACCTTGAGCAGCATGGAGCCTTTGAAATGCCATGGTATGTCTGGGGGTGTCATACCAGCATGCTGGACCAGGTCAGAACCAGGTAGCTCCACGGCACGTTATTCCTCTGCTTGAGTTCGAAGGTGCTGGGTTGTGTCGGACAGATCACTGTGGAGTTGAGGTAAATACCAGTTGCATAAACCAAATCCTCATAAAGGCAGTTTAGGGAATACCAAAACCAGTATACTTGTGGGGGATGTGTTTCTTGTGGGCTCCGGGAGCCTGGGTTCAGCAGAATCTTCAATTTCAAAATCAGGATTTAGAAAGAGGTCCTGGGATTCATTCTTTATTTTATTTTAGACAGGGTTTCATTCTATATACCTGGCTGTCCTAGAACTCTCTGTATAGACCAGGCTGGCCTTGAACTCACAGAAATTCACTTGCTTCTGTCTGCCTCCTGGTGCTGGGATTAAAGGTGTGCACCACCACATCCTGCTGCATTCCCATTTCTTTTTTTTAATTTTTCAATTATTTTTTATTTTTTTATTTTTAATTTTTATTAAAATTTTCTACCTCCTCCCTTCCTCCCACTTCCCTCCCCTCCCCCCACTTCCCCTTCCTCTCCAGTCCAAAGAGCAGTCAGGGTTCCCTACCCTATGGGAAGTCCAAGGTCCTCCCCCCTCCCCCCAGGTCTAGAAAGGTGAGCATCCAAACAGACTAGGCTCCCACAAAGCCCGTCCACGCAGTAGAATCAAAACCCAGTGCTATTGTCCTTGGCTTCTCAGTCAGCCTCCACTGTCAGCCACATTTAGAGAGTCTGGTTTGATCACGTGCTCCATCAGTCCCTGTCCAACTGGCCTTGGTGAGCTCCCACTTGAACAGTCCCACCGTCTCAGAGGGTGGACCCACCCCTCGCAGTCCTGACTTCCTTGCTTATGTTCTCCTCCTGCTCCTCATATGAACCTTGGGAGTTCAGTCCAGTGCTCCAATGTGGGTCTCTGCCTCTATTTCCATGCATTGCCAGATGAAGGTTCTATGGTGACATGCAAGATATTCATCAGTGTGGCTATAGGATAAGGCCAGTTCAGGCACCCTTTCCTCTGCTGCCCAAGGAACAAACTGGGGACATCTTCTTGGACACCTGGGAACCCCTCTAGAGTCAAGTCTCTTGCCAACCCTAAAATGGCTCCCTTAATTAAGATATCTACTTCCCTGCTCCCACATCCACCCCTCCTCCATCCCAACCATCCCATTCCCCCAAGCTCTCCCCATCCTCCCCTTCTCCCTTCTCTCTCCCCATCTCCCCTTCCCCCCATCCCACCCCCACCCCCATGCTCCCAACCCCTGCCCGGCAATCTTGTCCACTTCCAATATCCAGGAGGATGACTATATGTTTTTCTTTGGGTTCACCTTCTTATTTAGCTTCTCTAGGATCACGAATTATATATATGCTCAATGTCCTTTATTTATGGCTAGAATCCACTTATGAGTGAGTACATACTATATTCATCTTTTTGGGTCTGGGTTATCTCACTCAGTAAAGTGTTTTCTATTTCCATCCATTTGCATGCAAAATTCAAGATGTCATTGTTTTTTTACCGCTGAGTAGAACTCTAATGTGTATATGTGCCACACCTTCTTTATCCATTCTTCTATTGAGGGGCACCTAGGTTGTTTCCAGGTTCTGGCTATTACAAATAGTGCTGCTGTGAACATAGTTGAACAAATGCTTCTGTAGTATGATTGGGCATCTCTTGGGTATATTCCCAAGAGTGGAATTGCTTCCTACATAGAACCCCAGTAGCGCAGACAATAAGAGCAACAATGAAATGGGACCTCCTGAAACTGAGAAGCTTCTGTAAAGCAAAGGACACTGTCATTAAGACAAAAAGGCAACCTACTGATTGGGAGAAGATCTTCACCAACCCCGCATCAGACAAAGGTCTGATCTCCAAAATATATAAAGAACTCAAGAAACTAGACATTAAAGCTCTAATTAACCCAATTAAAAAAATAGGGTACTGAACTGAACAGAGAATTCTCAACAGAAGCTCAAATGGCCAAAAGACACTTAAGGTCATGCTCAACCTCCTTAGCGATCAGGGAAATGCAAATCAAAACAGCTCTGAGATACCATCTTACACCTGTCAGAATAGCTAAAATCAAAAACACCAATGATAGCCTATGCTGGAGAGGATGTGGAGTAAGGGGCACACTCATCCATTGTTGGTGGAAATGCAAACTTGTGCAACCACTTTGGAAATCAGTGTGCCGGTTTCTCAGGAAACAGGGAGTTAACCTACCTAAATTTTTTTAATTTTTGTTTTTTCAAGACAGGGTTTCTTTGTGTAGCTTTGTAGCCTGTCCTGGAACTTGCTCTGTAGACCAGAATGGCCTCAAATTCAAAGAGATCCACCTGCCTCTGCCTCCTGAGTGCTGGAATTAAAGGCGTGCGCCACCGCTGCCTGGCTCCTATTTCTAAATTCTACAACAACTTAAATTTTAACTAAAGACAACTGTGGTTTCATGAATGTCTATGGTTTCTTCTCCCTTCCCCTAACCTGATTTTAGATACAATACCAGGGAGGCAGTGCATGGCTTCCTGTTTCTTCCTGCTTAAGCAGTTTGATGATGTCTTGATTTACCTCAACTCCTTTAAGGTCAGTATGAATTATCTGTGTATATGCCTTTATGTATGAAGCACTTTACATGCTGTGTTAGATGGGAATGATGACCTAGGCAGGAGAATTAAGAGTTCAAGGCCAAATTGGGCACGGTGGTGCAAGTCTTTAATCCCAGCACTCAGGAGACAGAGGTAGGCAGATCTCTGTTATTGGCCAGCCAAGTCTACACAATGAGTTCCAGGACAGCCAAGGTTACACAATGAGACCCTGTCTCAAAACAACAACAAAAAAGGAGTTCAAGGACAATCACAGCTACCCCCAATGAAGTTATACTTTTGTTGCTAGCCCCTTTATCTTATGGTATTGATAACATCAAGGAATTAATATAATCCTTTTTGTTTGTTTGTTTGGTTGGTTGGTTGGCTTTGTTGGGTTTTTATTTGGATGGTTGTTTTTGAGACAGTTTCTCTGTGTAGTCTTAGATGTCCTGGAATTTGCTCTGTAGATCTGGCTGGCTTTTAACCCAGAGATCCACCTGCTTTTGCCTCCCAGCTTCGAGGATTAGAGGTGTGTGCCACTTCTAATCCTCTGTAAGATTATTTCTTTTGGGCAGCAAAGTTGCTTTGAAAGTTTGGTGACCTGAGTTCAGTTCCCAGATAGAAGGAAAGAGCCAGAGCTGACACCTCAGAATTGTCCTTTGACCTCCACGTGTATCATGGCACACACATTACCCCACCACCACCAACACACACACATTGTTTTTTCTTTTGAGACAGAGTTGCACTATGTCACTCTGGCTGGCTTGGAACTCATCAGATAGCCCAGGCTGGCTTCAAACTCACAGAGCGCTGTCTGCCTCTGCCTCCTAAGTGTTGGGATTAAAGATGTGTGGCACCATGCCCAGCAATAATAAACTTTAAGATTTTTTTTAGTTAGAATAGCTGATGATTATTCATTATTAGTCATTATTTTACTAGTCAGTATAGCCAATGATTTTGTATTTTCCATATTGATACTCAGTGTGTCCTGTTCTTGGCACATTTTGTAGAGTTACTTCTACAATGATGACATCTTTAACTTTAATTATGCCCAAGCCAAAGCTGCGACAGGCAACACCAGTGAGGGTGAAGAGGTGAGTACCTGCTTTTGTTCTTTTTAAGATGGTCCAGGTGTGCACACTTTAGGCTCCTCTGTGAGTGCGAGGCCGGCCTAGTCTACAGAGCGAGTTCCAGGACAAGCTCCAAAGCTACACAGAGAAACCCTATCTCAAGAAAAGAAAAAGGAAAGAAAGGAAGGAAAAATGGAAGAAAGAAAAAGAAAGAAAAGAGAGAGAGAGAGAGAGAGAGAGAGAGAGAGAGAGAGAGAGAGAGAGAGAGGAGAGAGAGAGAAACCCTGTCCAGAAAAACAAAATCAAAAAATGATGATACTTATTCGGGTGCCTGCTTTTAAAAGCTTTTGAATTATCATATCTGAAAGAATCTTTAGCTTCTTCTCACTAAAATAAAATGGCCAAGGGTAAAGGACTATTATAAGTTGGTTTAGCTAGGGACTGATACCCCATTCCTATAAACCCAGCACTTAGTAGCATAGGATCCTGAACTACATAGCAAGACTCTACCTCAAAAAAACAAAACAGTTCATAGAGATAGCTCAGTGGGCCAAGAAAGTAGCTATGCAAGCCTGCTGACCCAAGTTCATCCCTGGAACCCACATAAGAAAGCTGGCTATGGCAGCATTCTTATACAGGGGAGGCAGAAGCAAGAGAACTACCTGGAAGCTTGCAGCCAGCCTGGGGTGCAGCACTTGCAACAGCAAAATGAAAGGCCCTGCTTCAGCAGGGTGGGAGATAAGAACAGCTTCTGAAAGTTGTTCTCTGACCTCCATGTGCCCATCGTGTTAAAGATGCACCATATACTTCTATGTGTGCAAGCACACACACAAACACAATACAGAGTAAATTAATAATTTGTTTCATTATGGTTTACATTAAAAAGTACAATATCAGGCTAGAGAGATGGTTCAACCATTAAGAGCACTTACTGCCTTTGTAGGAGACCAGGTTAAGTTCCCAGCACCTATATAGTGGCTTACAACTGCCTGTAATTCAAATTCCAGGGGATCTGACACCTTCTTCTTCTGTGGGTTCTTGCATGTTTATGGTGTGCATAAATTCAAGTGGGCTCACATGCATACATATAAATAATAAGTCTTAAAACAGTGTTGATCAGCATATAAGTTTTATAATAATTATGTTTTCCTTTAACTTCAGTTTTGCTAGCAAACAATAAGGCCCGGTCTAGTTGATTGTGTCAGTTTTTATTGTTTACCCGGCCTCACGTTTACTCCCTTTCTCTTCTCTCATAGGTCTTCCTTTTGATCCAAAGCGAAAAGTTGAAAAATGATTACATTTACCTCAGTTGGTTAGCTCGCTGCTGTAAGTTATCTTTCTCAACATCACAACAAGGATCCTCTTTTTTTTTTTCCATTAAGTAATCTGGAAAATCACGTCAAGCCTTTTCTCCACCTCTGTGTTGTATAGAGTGGTAGAGCTGGAATGAAGAGCTGCCATGTGGATGTGATGTGATTAGCTCCCCCATTCCACACTGACTGCCGCCGCTAGTGCAGCAAATGTCAGGTTCTTTCAGCTCTGTTCAAGCTTGCAGGCTTTGTGCTCGGTGCCATTAGAGAAATGGTGCTGTCACGCTGGTTTTACCTTTTCATTTGTCAAGCCTGAAAAGTGGCAACCTGTCAAAATGTAATTTTTGTTCATTGCTCACCTGTAAGAAGTCTCTCAGATCTCTTTTCTTAGATTTTTTTTGCATATATTCACTATACATAGTGCCAGGTTCCATCAAACAACTTCAAGTATATCACACACTCTGACCATATCCACCCCACATAGTTTCCTCCACTCCCCATCTCCTCTGCTTTCATGTCCTATGGAGAAATGGTCTTGTGAATCTGTATAAAATCTAGGATTTACAAACGAGAGAAAACATTTATTTGCCTGAGTTTTCATATGTTAATATGATGTTCTTAAATTGTATGTTTCCTAAAACATGACATAATTTCATTGTTCTTTGTATTGTGTGTGTATACTTTATCTGTTCATCTGCTGGTGGGCACCTGGGCTATTTCCCCAGCATGGCCATTATGAATAGTGCAGAAAGAAACATGGCTGTACAGATGCCTGTGATAGAAAGACCTGGAATCCTAGTGTAGTTTTATTCGAGGCAGTTTTGCTTTGTTGTTTTGTGGTGCCAGGGATCAGTCTTGGTCCTTGTGTGGACAGGCCGGTGCTATACTGCTCTAACCCAACCCCCCATTGTGAGATTTTGAGGACCTTTGATAAAAAAAACTTTTGAACCTGTTGGACTAATTAATAGTCCCACCAGCAGGTATCGTCCCTTCTCTCCACACTCTCCTTACTTGTTTTGTTTGATGGCCATTCTGACGGGATGAAATGGAATCTCATATGGTTTTAATTTTCATTTCTCTGATTGCTAAGGTTAGTGGACATTTTTCATATGCTTACTGTCCGTTTTACTCTATATTTTCAGAACTGTTAATTTTTTTAGCCCATTGTTAGTTGGGTTATTTAAATGGGATGTTTGAGTTTTTGGAGCTCTTTACATCAGATACATTGCTAAATGGTATTTTTGCCCTTTCTGTAGGCTGCTGCATCACTCAGGTGCTTCTTTGGCCACAAAGAAGCTTCTTAATTCGTGGCGTCCCATTTGTTAAGTCCTGACCTCATTTATTAAGCTATTCGTGTGCTTTTGAGAAAGACCTGCTTATGCCTCTATCTGGGAGTATTTTCTCTAACAGTTTTAGCGTTTCAGCTTACTGTAGGTCAAGGTCTCTGATCCACATGTTTAAGTAGAGTGAGAGATAGGGATCTAATTTCATTCATCTGCATGTGGATGTCCACTCCCCAGCACCATTTGTTGAATATGTATTATCAATATATTTTCCCCAATTTATGTTTTGAAACTCTTGTTAGGCCATAACTGTGTAGATTTAATTGTGAGTCCTTTATTCTGTTCCATTGAGTTATATGTTTGCTTTTGTGCCTGTACCTTTTTTTATGTCCATGTGAATTTTAGTATTTTTCCCTTTTTGTTACTGTGAAGAGCAACACTGGAATTTTTGTGGCAGTGGCACTGGCATCGCTTTTGCTAATATAGCCATTTTTATTTTGCTGGCTCAGCACCACTGGGGCTCTTTCATTGTTCTACTGTCTTTTTTTTCTTTAGTGCTTAAAATTCCATTGTGTGGGTTTCTTACCTCCTTGGTTAGGTTTATTCCCAGTTGCTATTATGTGTCTTTAAAGCTATTATAAATGGTATTGTTTCTCTGATTTCTTTCTTAGGAATGTGTTATTGGTATATAAAACTGGTTGATTTTTATATACTGGTAGAAAGGGTTAATCAGGTTTTAAAGTCTTCTGGTAGAATTTTCAGAGTTTCCAGTGAGTAAGATCATACCTGCAAGTAGGGATAATTTGACTTCTTTCTTATTTCTGTTGTTTTATTTGTTTCTCTTGTCATATTGCTCTAGTTAAGACTTCAAAGAATAAGAGTAGAGAAAAGTTTTAAAATTTTAAAATATTTTAAGGGGTGGAGAAAATAGACACCTTTGTATCATTCCGGGTTTTAGTGGAAAGTCTGAGTTTCCCCCATTTAATGTTTGCTGTAGGTTTTCTCTCGTGCTTATTTACCATTCTTCTGTGGTTAATTTCTCCTATGCCTCCATGGATATGTTTGTCTCCTTTCAGTGTGTATGTTCCTCCCACAATTTTTTTTAGTTTGTATTTATTATGACAAGTTTTTCTTTCTTCAGTTATGAAGCATGGCTTTGCTGAATATACTAACATGGGTTGGTGATAATAATCAAGACAATAAGCCGGGCGATGGTGGCGCACGCCTTTAATCCCAGCACTCAGGAGGCAGAGGCAGGCAGATCTCTGTGAGTTCGAGACCAGCCTGGTCTACAGAGCTAGTTCCAGAACAGGCTCCAAAGCCACAGAGAAACACTGTCTTGAAAAACCAAATAATAATAATAATAATATAATAAAATAATAATAAAAGACAATAGTTTATGAATTTGATATGTGTCATTCCATAAACTTTTAGAGTTTCTGTTGCAAAACTTACTCTTGTTTGATGGAGTTGTCTTTACATATTGCTTCATGCTTGTCCCTTGAAGCTTCTAATATTCTTTTGGGCCCTATATGTTTAGTGTTTTAACGATTGCATGGGAAGTTCTTTTCTGGTCCTATCTTCTTGGCATTCTAAAGGCCTCCTGTGTCTAGATGGGTATCTCTTTCCCTAGACCTTCACATTTTCCTACTGGGATCTTATTAAATATATGTCTGTGCCTTTGTCTTCAAGTCTCTCTCTTCTATGCCCATGAATCATATATTTAATCTTTTAATCATTTCATATATTTCATTTTTTCATCTTCCATTAATACTTTATTTTTATTGCTATATGAATTTTCTAATCATGGTATTAATCATACATACATATATATAATTTGCTATACTGGCTTCCAAGCTAGGTTCCAGCACCCAATCAGCTGGCAACCTTCTGTTACTCCAGCTCCAGGGCATCCAGTGCCCTTTTCTGCCTTCCAAGGGTACACACACACACACACACACAAATTAAGTTTAAAAAAAAAGGTGGCACACTTTTATAACCCCATCACTTGAGAGGCTCAAGGTGGAGGCTGGAGGCTCGAATTGAGCAATAGCTTAGGTAATATCTTGAGACATTGTCATAAATATAAATAATATACTTGTTTCCTTTTGTAGATATCATGAACAAAAAACCGAGACTAGCTTGGGAACTTTATCTCAAGATGGAAACCTCCGGCGAGTCCTTCAGCCTCTTACAGCTCATTGCCAATGACTGTTACAAGGTGAGCTTGTGTGACGGGAAGGGAACCAAGATCAGTGTCACGATTCCTCAGCTAAACGTCAGTCCTTGAGACTGACTAGCTATTGGTGAGAGATTGCCACCCTTTTTATGAATTACATGAACTCAGAGATGGGCGAGTATTCCAGAGTCTCATGTGCATATGAACGATATTTAGAAGGAGGCCTCTGATTTCTAAGGCCATGAAAGCTCAGCTGCTATCTAGGTAGAAATATTCAGCTAATGGACAGAAATTTGGTTCTGAACTTGAGAAACATGTCATCCGGAAACAGATCAGGACTCACCATCAGCATTTACATTCTGATTAGCTAGGTGTGGTGGCACATATCTCTGATCTCAGCACTTGGAAAGCAGAGGCAGGAGGATCACTACAAGTTTGGAGGCAGCATAATTTCAAGACCAACCAGGTTTACCTAAAAAGATCCTGTTTTAGAGAAAGAGAAAAATGGAGCCCTCAGAATCAGTGAGTTTATGGACTGGCAAGATGACTTATTGATTAAAGGCACCTGCCACTAAGACACCTGATGATCTGAGTAAAGTCCCTGAAACCCACATGGTGAAAGGAGAGACCAGTTCCTGAGAGTTCTTCTCTGCCCTTCATGCACACACTGTGGCACACAGGCACTCACAGACACAGACACATACGCACACACTGTGGTACACACACGGGCACACACACACACACTGTGGCACATGGGCAATCACACACTCGGGCACACACACACACACACTGTGGCACACAGGCACTCACAGACACAGACACATACGCACACACTGTGGTACACACACGGGCACACACACACACACACTGGCACACGGGCATTCACACACACACGCGCACACGCACACACTGTCACACGGGCACTCACACACACGCACACATTGTGGCACACGGCAATCACACACACACACACCTTTTCCTGCCTTCTCAGCCTGTGTCTCTCCCTCCCTCTGGAGTTGTGAAGCTGGGAACATAGGTGAGTGGTAGAGCATTTACCTACACCATGCTTCAGACCCTGAGTTCAACCCACAGTGCCACAATAAAGAAATTAATTTATTGATCTCAGTTCTACGAATAAGAAACATTTTCATACTCTTTATGGGAAGGGTATCATCGATCTCAACATCCAAACCAAATTCGGGAGGATCCCCACTTTTGTATAGTGATCATAGTAAAAACAAATTGGTCCCCAGATTAATAAGGAATATCATATACATTATGCTGAGTAAAGAAAACTTTTGTGTTTTATAACATATATAAAAACATTCTTGAAATTATAACATTATCAATGACAATATTATCAAGAAAAGATTGGTGAGCTGGGTGTTAGGGACACTCAGTAAACAGGGAAGGGCCTGAAGTCACTGTGGGCTGGAAACAAGGGAAATCTCTGGTGAGGGAGGAATCTGGATCTTGGAAGTGGAGGACCTTGGTGTTCCACTCAGGATTGTCACCTCAGCAGTGCCTACGGAAGCTTCCTGGTTCAGATCTTTTCACTATAGCTATAGAAGCAATAGCCACTGGGAGAAATTGTGAGAGGCACAGGAGACACCATCCTGTCTGTGCACCTTCCTATAGATCTGTAACTATTTCACAATAAAACTGGGGTGTTAATGGCTGGAGAGATGGCTCAGCAGTTAAGAGCACTAGCTGCTCTACCGTAGAACCCAGATTTGATTGCCTTGGTGGTTCACAGCCACTGCAGCTTCAGTCTCAGGATCTGATGCCTCCTTTGGACATTCATGGGCACCAGGCATCCACACTGTCTACAGACATGAATGTGGACGAAACAACCCTACATGTAAAATAAAGCTAAAACTTGGCCAATGAGATCATTTTGTGAGTAAGACACCCGATGCCTACCCTGACAGCCTAGTGTGATCCCCGGGACCCCATGGCAGAAGGAGAGAAACAACTCCCACAAGTTGTCCTCTGGCCTCCATGTTTGCATGACATGTGTGCAGGTAAACAAACAATGAAATAAAAACATACAAATAAAATAACTTTAGAAAAGTAAATAATTAGTACAATATGTGATAGTATAGATGGATGTTAAAATTTTGAGTCAAATTCAAGACAAAGTATTTTATATAGATAAAATTCTGAGAGGCAAAATTTGATGCTATCATTTAAAATGCAAAGAGGGTCAGTGAGATGACTCAGCATTTAAAATTACTGGCTTCTAAGCATCGCGAATCTCAGTTTGATACCTGGGACCCACACGGAAGGAAAGAACTGGCTACCACAAGTTTTCCTCTGATGTCCACACATATAAATAAATAAAGCACACATATTCCCTCAACACAACATTTAAAAATCATTTTAAAAAGTATAAAGAAAGTCTAAGGATTGAGCATGGAAGTGGGAACAGCAATTGCTGCTTAGCAATGAAGAAGCAGGGATCATTGTCAGGTGATATGTTAAAGGTCTTGTTCTCCACATCCCGTGGACCTGGGTGCTTGGTCCACTTGTGTTCACATACAGTAAGTTGTACCTATTTCGCACATGGCTCTACCTGTGTTATCTAACATATTGTGAAGACAGAAAGGTTAGCCCTGAGAAGAGGAAGAACACTTGTTTTGTGACACAGGAAGAAAGATGGGACAAGGGAAGGGTATTATTTGTTCTGTGGGGAGAAAGTTTGTGCTTTCCTTGCTGTATAAAGCCTAGAATGCCAGGAGGCTGAGGCAGGCAGATCTCTATGAGTTTGAAGCTAGCCTGGTTTACAAGAGCTAGTTCCAGGGCAATCACCAGAGCTACACAAAGAAACCCTGTATCAAAAAACAAAACAAACAAAAAACAATTAACAAAATAGTCAAATTAGCAGGGCAATGGTGGTGCACACCTTTAATTCCAGCAGAGGCAGGCGGGTCTCTGTGAGTTCAAGGCCAACTTGGACTATAACTGTCCAAGTTCCAGGACAGGCTCCAAAGCTACAGAGAAACCCTGTCTTGAAAAACCAAAATAAAGAGAGAGAGAGAGAGAGAGAGAGAGAGAGAGAGAGAGAGAGAGAGAGCTGAGAATACAGTATAGCCTTAAGGACCTGGTCAATGACTGAGGAGGAGGCTGGAGGGGTAACTACATCAACAGTGAGTTGGATCACCCAGCAACAAGGAACCTTAAGAGCCAACTCAGTTGTGCTCAGCATATCCCATGAGGCCAAGGGAATGTATCATGTCTTTGGGAAAGATGTCTGTCGAATTGAATTAAGAGATTTTTGTGCTTAGACTTGGCACTGCCCAGAAATTCTAAGCATTTAAGGTATGTGGGAAAAGATCAGTCTTTTGAGTTGTATATGATCAGATTAGGGTAATGTATTGAAAAGACTTGAAAATACCTAAAAACAAAACAAAAACAGCTATTGGTTTCTCACAAGAGCAGACTAGAATGAGAAGAAATAACAACTGTCTTGATGGCATTGTAATTCAACAGTATGTAGACAAAATGTTCTATTGCTGAAAGAAAGGGCATGTGGTTTTAAACAAACCTATACACTTAAACTGTGGTCCTCTTATTTTGAACAGGAATTGAAATGCACCTAAGTTGCTACCTCAAAGTGGTGTGTGTGTGTGTGTGTGTGTGTGTGTGTGCATTTGCTTCATCCTGTTCTGTTCTTGTTCTTTACTTTGTATATTTCATTGTGTTCCACCTCTTGTCTAAATGTCAATGCTACTACCATGCTTTGTTCTGTGCAGATGGGCCAGTTCTACTATTCAGCCAAAGCGTTTGATGTCCTAGAGAGGCTGGATCCCAACCCTGAATACTGGGAAGGCAAAAGGGGTGCCTGCGTAGGCATTTTCCAGATGATTTTAGCTGGGAGAGAACCCAAGTAAGTACCCAATAGATGGAGGCACTCTGTTCAAGCACGCCTGTGACAGGGTGCCTGTGGAAAGCGTGGGGAGAGAAACGTTGAGATGGCAATATTTTTGGTATGATCATTTCTTCCAGAAATGTCTTATTTTATAGAATCAAATGATTATAAGTCATACATACTGGGGACACTAAGCATATGAGAGCCTCCAAATCCAGGGCAAGGTGTATATCTGACTCCAGATGAACAGCTATTTCCATAAACAAATGTCATTCACATCTCCACTCTCTGCCTATTGGCTTTTCCTTCTGTTGTCTAATTTAGGCCTCAAAGAAATAGGAACAGAGTAGATGTAGTTGATAATTCTGTTTTTGCTTCTGCCTTCTCATATTCCAGGAAATGCAGAGGTATTGATTATGTAAAACTAAGATGCTTATATTTCTATGTGAATAAAAATTAAAAATCTTAAAAATAAACTCCTAGCACATGGGATTCTGAAGCAGAATTGTGGGCTCAAGTCCAGAAAGACTAGCCTCCGCTAAAATTCATTCATTAGTTCAGCGCTCTAAAAATAACTCTACACAATATATTCATTGCTTACTGCATACACAGAAAAATGTAATACTCTTTTTAAGCAAATTACCTACCAAAATTTGCTGGGCGGTGGTGGAACACGCCTTTAATCCCAGCACTTGGGAGGCAGAGGCAGGTGGATCTCTGTGAGTTCGAGGACAGCCTTGTCTACAAGAGCTAGTTCCAGGATAGCTAGAGCTATTACACTGAGGAACCCTGTCTCGAAAAACAAAATTATCAAAATTTACGTCCTGCTATGTGTCTATTTACAATACCAAATAAAAGCACTTAGGTAGGTTGTTCCTCAGAGAGAAAGGGATAGAAAACAAGACTACAAGGGGAGCCACCCACAATCAGCTGCCAATGTTCTGATGAGACAGCAGGGAAGCTTCAGATGCCTCACCTAAAATCCAAGCCTTAATTTTAATGAATTTGGAGCTCAAGATGGCTCGCAGTTAAGAATCCTTGCTGCTTAGTCATGAGGACTGGAGTTCGAATCCCAGCACATATGTCAGGCAGCTCATAAACGCCTATAACTTCAGCTCCAAGGAGGAAACTCTTCTGTCCTCCTCAGGCACCTGCATACATGTGCAAATACACTCACACAGACCTACACAAAGGGACTGGTCTTGTAGACCAGACAGGCCTCGAACTCACAAAGATTCACCTGCCTCTGTCTCCCGAGTGCATGCGCCACCACTGCCCGGCAAGTTAAAATATTTTTAAAGTGTAAATCTATGTATTTACTAATTTTCAGTCCTTACTGCTATTCTCATCTATATTTTTAATATTTGTGAACCCTTTCTAAACAAATCTGTTGAAGAAGCCACCCTTGGCTATGGGTTAGAAAACTAGCAACTTTGTAGTTGGTTTATGCTCAGTGGAGGGCCCATGAGCAGGGATGCCTCCTCACTCGGATACAGTGTAACAGTGAGAGACTGTCAGCTTTCCTTCCCTATTGAGACAGTGTCTTTCAAACCCTTTCCCCAGAGAGACCCTCCGAGAAGTGCTACACTTACTGAGAAGCACGGGAAACACCCAAGTGGAGTATATCATCAGGATCATGAAGAAGTGGGCCAAGGAGAACAGAGTGCCTATCTGAACAGCTGAGCCCCAGGCCAGGGACCAGTTTCCTCTCACATCACATTGGAACTGTTTCCTGCACTCGAATATGTGGTCCAGGACCCTGTTTGACTGACATTTGTTCCTTGCTGTTAGCACATCAGGATGAGTGGCTGGTACGTGTGGACTCACATCAGGCGGCACAGATCTCCCTACTCGTGTAATCTAACATGAAAGGATTCTGGACTTCCCCGGTGCCTTTCTTCCAAAATCACTCAGAATACTCATATAATTCCTGGCTTTGAAGAGTAGATAATAGTTTTGTTTTTCTTTTTCTGTTAGCATTTCAGGAAATTTTCTCCTAGCTGCAGTGACAAGTACTTTCATACTAAAGAATTACTGTCATTTGATCATCTTCCATCACCTTGTACATTAGCTCGTCCATGAAGAATGCATCTCTGAGTCCTGGGAGAAGTCTTCCCAGCTGTGTGATTCTAAGGATGGCCGCGAGACTCTCTACCACGCTGTGCAGTCGGCAGCAGAGAATAGGCTTAGAGACCACTCAGTAAGTGAACTCCGATTATAGCTTGTTACAGTGAGGCAAGTTGAGTGGTGTAGATTTTTAAAAGGCGAGGGAAAAGAAAAATGTAGCAATCGCTACTGCCTTGTATTTAGGAAACAAAGCCAGGGGAAACGTCTTCATATATCAGTTGAACGGACAGCAGTTTGAACATAGGGCTGCAAAGGTTTTTTTATAAATTTTTTTTTTTTTTTTTTTTTTGGTTTTTCGATACAGGGTTTCTCTGTGGCTTTGGAGCCTGTCCTGGAACTAGCTCTGTAGACCAGGCTGGTCTCGAACTCACAGAGATCCGCCTGCCTCTGCCTCCCGAGTGCTGGAATTAAAGGCGTGCGCCACCATCGCCCGGCTATGTATTTTTTTTTTTTGTTTGTTTGATTTGGGTCATTTGAAACAGGGTTTCTCTCTATAGTCCTGGTTGTCCTGAAACTCACTTTGTAGACCAGGCTGGCCTCGAACTTGGAGATCTACCTGTCTCTGCCTCCGAAGTGCTGGGACTAAAGGTGTGTGCACCATTATCACCCGGCAAATTATATTGCACACACATGCACACATAATAGATTAATACAGTTATAAGCAAGGGTCCCTGGACGAAAACTCCTAATGGCTAACACCTCCATTATATCTCAGCCTCATGTCTCTGAGCTGTCATTACGGAACCCTCGTCATTCTACAACCAAATATTCTTGGGTCTACGTCCCACTTTCAGAGAACAGACACATCTTTTCCTATATCAGATCACCTTGGTTTCTATGCCCTATAATGTTCTTCTGTAAGTCTGAGGTGCAGTGTCATGGCTACAACACGCAGACTCATCCTCAGGGAGCAGAGAGTGGGTGGGGAGAATGGAGGAGTTTCTGGAAGCAGCACTGGTTCTTCCCCATGCCCTGGCCTCCCGCTGCAGGTGGCATGGTGCTGCACAACAAGAAGAGGGGGCCCGTTCAGAGAGACCAGCCAAAGCAACGGGAGCCAAAGCAACGGGAGCCAAAGCAACGGGAGCAGCGGCTGGACACAGCCTTCCCCTCTGGCCAGCCCCAAGGTGGTCTGCAGCTCTGCTCAGAAGAGGGCCAGTGTGCCATCTTTTACATAGGTCCAGATCTGATCAGTGTGGAGCACAAATCACAGTGCTGATCTAAAAGAACTCCAGGAAACAAAGCCGTTTTATGACAAGAGCGTCTTGTTTTCTTGTTCTGTTGTTCCTACTTTTTCAATAACAGCTGGTTCTCACTGTCAAGAATATTAGGTGGGTCAGATACGGCTGAACTTGGTATAGTTCTGCGAAACATTCTTGTAAAACTTACGTTACTCAAAAGGAAGCAGAGAAGCGGGAGGGCGGATGCAACTCCTGGGGGCTATGGGCATCTTGCCGTGAACTGTGTTCAGGTATAGTTCTTCATTCATGCTGGTGTACTTCCCAGTGAGATTTTTCGAGTTTATTACTCAGTAGTCTGACATTTTCCAGTCTTGAGGGAAGGATGTCTATTCCCCCCAACATCAGAACTTTAGATTAGTTTTTAAAGTTTTTAATCTACAGGCTTGAGACAGAAACATGAAGGCTAGTTAAAACAAAGCATATGTAATTCTGTTAGGAGGGATAATTGCTTCTGATTGTTTCGACAGGGCTCCAGGCTTTATGGCTGTGTTCTCTCACAAATGACAGCCCAGGATGGGGAATGTGTAATGTGCACAGTCTATAACATCAATGTACTATTTAAAATCTGTAGTGCATACTTAGAAATGGAAAAAAACCTTTTACAATTATTTTTGTATTGCAAAAGAATTATATGCCATTGTACTATATTTAAATTAAATTTTATTTTTTGTTCTTTTCATGTGTGTTTATGTTTATATAGGTGTGCTTGCATATGTCGAGGTCAAAGGTCAAGCTGAGTGTCTTATCTCTTTCCACCTTATATTATA